GTGGTGTACAAGATATCATGTGATTGCTTACAAGCGAAATCATATGTTGGAGAAACAGGACGGAAACTCGAGATACGCCTAAAAGAACATGAGGCGGCGATTCGTTTAAAAAGACAAGAGTCACCATGGTATCAACATTGTGTTACTTATAACTGTAAAATTAATAGAAGTTCGATAAAAATATTGTATAAAATGGAAAATTTGTTTAAAAGACGCGTGGTAGAACATTTATGTATAATAGAATATGCAAATTTACTAAATCAGAATGTCGGTCTAAACGTTGATGCATGCTGGGAAAAGTTCCTTTGTATAAAAGGGAACAGGTGTCTAGTTGTTTGATTATCCACTGATGAGGCTGTAACGGCGAAATGCATTTGGAAAACAATTTGAAATTTACGAAAATAAAAGAATTAACCCTGGTTAAAGTAATGTATCTTTGTTGATTTACTGTTTGTCTGCTAATGCAAATTGCTCGAAGTCGGTTTTTGAAAGAGTGTCTTAATTTACTCGTCTTTTATTTTTAAAAATTATATTTTTAAAGTGGTCTTTGTTTAAGCCTCTTTAATTACAGTGTGTTTTGGTTTACCGAATAATATTGAATACGGCCCGTGTTTGATATACATCTATTTGACTGGCCCTTTGCTGTGTTTGAGTTTGAGACCCGTTCTAGAATGTTCCCGATACATCTAGAAGAAAACTTCAAGAACAGATTCGATATTTTTCGTCTAGAACAATCCATTCACTTAGTATAAGTAAGCGATTGATAACCGATCATTTCTTATAATAATAAATGAAATAATTGGTTGATATCCAATTATTCTTAATAAAATGTCATTTTAGATTTATTGTTTAAGACATTTTTTTACTTTAAATTTTATTCCTAAAGCCTTTAGGATTCAACATCCACATCACCCTCCATAAGTATGTTACAGTGTATATTTCAATAAATCGGCAAGTAGATTACCGTAGTGTAGAGATCCCTGAGTGGTGATGTACCGCAAAATTATAAGTAGAACTATAAATCTTCGTTAGAACAATGCTCCTTTATGCAGACTGCTGTTTAAAAAAAGCCATCAACACTACTACACTCATTTAAACGATAATTCATGCTGGTTTAAACATTGCCAATTGGTTGTCTATTGTTAGTTTAAACTGTTCTGTTGGAACAAAGTCCATTTCTGAACATCATCTGAAATGTTTTTGATGAAAGTCATGGGTTGAAACCTGCCACAAGCGCAACGATTTCAAGGCATTCGTACTGAATGTTTAGAAAGTTTAAGTCTTAATGATCACTAATTACGAACCTTAGATAGAAAAATTAGCATCAAATAAACAAGAGGGTGTTAAATGTCATAAAATCATATACTGATCATGTTATTAAGGAGAAATTCCTGATCCAAAACAGCACAAAATTTAGATTGATTTATTTAGCTTCATAATTTAATAAATTTAATTGTATAACACCAATTCTGATTCTCACAATTTTTATTTAATATATTTAGAGTATGGACTGCCCATAAATTACGTAACACACATATGAGTTAGTGGATTCATTATGTGGGTAATCGTCACGATATGTTGCAAGTGGGCGGGGTGTTTACGTTACGTAATGCTAGGTTCTTATCGCTTGTGTAACAGTGATTCGATTGTTTCTGAAGCGTTACGTAGCAGATGCCACTGTTTTGTATGTTATACACATAATTAATACCTTAGTGTAACTAAGAAACAATTAAGAGGTTTCTCAAGGATATGCGCTACGTTATCTTGGGGTAGATATGTGCGATGGTATACGGAGTGTTACAGTGGGATGAGTTAATAGTCGAAAAGTTTAAAACTAACGTTACATAATTTATAAACTATCCCTAGGAATTTAATGGTAAAAAATTTGTCCTAAAGAAAAATTAAATAGATGACTGATATGACTTTATTGTTAACAGGAAAAGTATGATGTACAGGGGCAAGACACTACTATAATTGAAGACAATGTGACGAAACATTGCAGCCCGGCATTATGACCATGTCATAATAAATAATAGCTTATTAAGACTATATTTTATAAAGAGGATATCATTTTACTTCGCGCTTATTCGAAATATTATTTTTACACGAGAAAGAAAAATACTATTTACTTCATCAAGGTAAGTTCATTATAAAAATGTTCATAAATTTATCATATAAAATAATCTTAAAAAAATATACAAATAAAAGACAAATATTGAACAAATGTTAAGACATTGGAGAATGATCGAAAGTTACAATAAAAGGAAGAGAAATATTGAATACAATCGTACCCAGCAAAAATAAACAAATAACGTAACCAACACCTTATTGCTTGCTGAGGGAGTTTTATTAAAAACGAACGTTTTCGATCCACTTAACGGATCATCATCAGGTTCGAATATATGAAAATGGAATACATCATAAATGGAACAATAAGTTCAAAAATTCAAAAATATCAATAAACTGATAACATATTAATTAATATGAATAAAAATAAATTGTAAACGATACCAAATAATAAATAATATACTACAACGACTAAACATTAATACTAAGTTTCCTTTAAATCAATTAAATATCATATTTCAGATGATGCGCTACTTGTAAGCTTTTTAACGGCAAATTTCCAAGCCGAGGGAAGACCTTCCGCATCCCTAGCATTAATGCATCCGTCTTTAAGTTTGCTCCTGTATATCTCCATTTTTTCGGCCGTCCTCGCCAAAGTTGGTGAGTGTACTTGCCTCACGACTTCCGCTTCCTCCCATCCAACCAGGGATCCTT